ATAAGATTTGAATGTACAGTACTGGACAATGAAATATGATATTTGAAAAACGATCGTCACTTTCGCACATCTGTAACTCTCTTGTCTTTGAGTTTAAACTATTAGTGTTATACATTTTCTGAAAGCTCTTTTCAAGCGCTACACAATGGTAATATTAATATTTAGAAATACAGTAAAGACAAGGGAGTTATAGACGCGCGAAAGTGACGATCGTTTTTCAAATATCGTATTTCATTGTCCCGTAGTGTATCGGTGACAATGACAACAATGACAACTCTCTTCGCAACGATAGTCCAACGATAGTCCAACTCTCTTCGCAACGATAGTCCAACGATAGTCCGCAACAGATATTTCATTGTCCAGTAGTGTACCTAATTGAATAGATATTGAAAAGAATGAAGAAGAATGTTATGAAATCTGTTTTTCCAGTAGTGTGTCCAGTAGTGTCCAGTAGTGTCCAGTAGTGTCCAGTAGTGTCCAGTAGTGTGTCCAGTACGCGCGAAAGTGAGTGATCTTTTTTCAAATATCATATTTCATTGTCCAGTAGTGTAGATTCGATGGGAAACCTCTAAAAAAAGTTTAAAATAAAAAATTACCTTTTAATATCAATATATTGAACAATTTTAATAACAATTTAATTTAATTTAAAATTTAATTTAATTTAAAATTATTTAAATTCTTTTTTTTCTTCAATGTTCAACTAAAATTTTGTTGAAAAATCGGAGTAGGCTAATTTCCGCATTTTTTTTACGCAACTCGCCATAACTTTCTTCTAAGTCGGTCAATCTTTATGATTTTGGTTGCATTTTGTTGCACTTATTGAGCTCTACAGAATGAAATCAAAATCATAAAGATTGGCCGACTTCGAAGAAAGTTATGGCTAGTTAGGCAAATGATCCGGTTGCAGAAATTAGGCTACCCCGAAAAATCTTCAAAATGAATCAAAAAAAGAGGCGTTTTCTCGGTTTTATAGATAACTTTGTCATCCTTTTTGCACAAAACACTGTTTTTCTTATCTCATTTTTTCTCTCAACAAAAAAAAAGGCTAAATTTAGGCTAAATTTTGAATTAAAAATTAAAATTAGAATAAAAATTGAGATTAGAATAAAAATTGAGATTTTAGGGCTTATTGGGAAAGGATTTTGAATTAAAATAGGGGAAAAACTGAAAGTTTTACTCTTACTCAAAAAAAAAAAAAAGAAGGAGCATTAGGATCGAAATTTCGAAAAGAGAAAGTTCTATTTGCTGTAAAGTTCCAAGCTACAATCTACTTTCTGTTTGGTGAGGCATTTCCAGAGACAAAGCCGATAACTCATAAGACAAAAACCAAGGAAAATAGTTCCTCTAATTATCCGAATTCACAGAATTACTTTACAATCGCCTCCAAAAAAAAAAAAAAAAAAGGATTTCTGAAAGAATAAGAACTGATAAAGGGTGAAAAGAATCATTTTCCCCTATTTAGTTAGGGATTTTTCAAGGATATGCCTGAAAAATGAGTTCTTTTTTATATTTTGTTCAAATTTTTCTTTTGGCTTTGATTCGTGGATCGATTCAAGAGGGAACAGGTGAGTAATGAGAAAAAGAAAAGGAAATTTTGAAAAGAACCAAGAATGGTTAATCTTTTGAGTGATTTAGTGAAGGAAATTGGTGGGAAATTGTTGGGAAATTGTTGGGAAATTGGTGGGAAATTGGTGGTAAATTGGTTTTTTTCAGCAAAAATGGTTTAAAAGATTGATTGAAGACAAAGATCGAACGTCGATTCGACTCTTGCGGGGTTTTTAAACAAGTAATCGCACTTTAAAAGCCATCATTTTATTTAGATTTGAGATGAATGCTAAATTTTGATCTAGTTTTAAAGAGAAGACTCTAGGCTTTAAAATGATATAAAATATAGGTTTATTTGGATTGAAATTTCATAAAAAAAGGAATATTCTGAAAGGAAAATCACTGTGCAAAATGATTGGGAAGGTGGTCTTTGATCGGTGGCGTAATCGCTCGCGATCTGGCAGACGGCTCTGACACTGGGTGTCCCTCCTTTCGAATCCGTAACGTAATAGGACTGAAAAATGATTGGGAAGGTGGTCTTTGATCGGTGGCGTAATCGCTCGCGATCTGGCAGACGGCTCTGACATAGGGTGTTTCTGTTCTCGAACCCGTATCGGAAAAGGACTGGACCGGCCTCGTCCCGACAGCTGGAATCACAAAATGGAGGAAGTGGTCGAGGGAAGACAAATTGGTACCAGATTGAATTCATTCTCGTTCAATTGAAAGCATTTTCTACCAATTTAGCAATAGCAATTTGGCGAATAGTGGCTAAATTTCTCGTTGATTTTGATGGCTTTCAGGGTGTCCAAATACCAATTTAGCACATCCGCTTGCAGAAAAACCCGCTAAACCATCGTTCCACTTCTTTTGTAATTTCAATACGAAAAATGAAGTTTATCCTCTCTCAAATCGTGCCAGTAATGTCGTCCATTGCACATGTCGTTCATTGCAATTGTCGTCCATTACAATTGTCGTTCATTGCAATTGTCGTCCATTACAATTGTCGTCCATTACAATTGTCGTTCATTGCAATTGAATTTCTTTTCATCTGACCACAATCTACAAAAAAGGGATTGAAATCAAACGAGTACACTTACCGAGCTTCAATTGATTCATTGATTACTCAGATTTTGACGATTGTGATGAATGGAGCACGAAAGATGAAGGATGAAGCTCTTCTCGATCACCCAAACATTCAAATAAGCCTTGATTTTGCTGGTCAATGTCAAATTTGAGGCTTCTCGAATGATTGATTGATTGATTGCTTGATTGAATAATTGATCAGTCGTTGTTCCCGGTTTGTAGTGCTCGGCTTTTATCCCTCGGCATTCTGCGGTAACCGGTAACCGGAGTCGTTGAAATGGTCGATTTTCTTGGCAATTTCTCGATAATTGTTCCCGGCTATATCATTAATGCAATTGCTAAAGAAATTTCTGAATACATTTCTGAATATTTTCAGCTCAACCGGATCCACCATGTAAGATTTTGAGCGGAGAACTTGACGCGAACACTACCCAGTTGATAATCGCTATTTATAACGTGGGAATCACCGATGAAGTCATTCAAAGGGTAATCAAGTTTTCAAAAGAAAGTTTGCAAAAATTTGTAATACTTTTAAATTTTAGATTATTAACCTCATCGAGTATTATTGGCTTTCCGAGTACAAGAAAGGCGTCAACTTAACTTTTGTCTTTTTAGGTTAGTTTTGAGAAAGATTCACTCCTTCAAGCTTCAAGCATGATTTCCGGTAGACTCATTACAGTACTACAGAAAGGCTTATTGCTTCAAGCTCTTCAATTTAAAGAAAAGTCACCCGGTTTTGGGTACTTTCTTGTCTGCTACTTGTTCTGTTACTTGTTCTGTTACTGATGGTGAGGCTGGTGTAGTGGCCGGATTTCCGCACTACAAACTACAAACTATAAACATAAACTACAAACTATAAACATAAACTACAAACGCTTCTAACTTCCTTCAAATCTATCGAATCGCTATGATCTATAGCTCAACAAAATAGAGAATCTCAAGAGCTTTTGAATGAACCAAAGCACGCCTAAAATATGAATGGCTTATTGGCTTTCCGAGTACAAGAAAGGTGTCAACTTAACTTTTGTCTTTTTAGGTTAGTTTTGAGAAAGATTAACGCCTTCAAGCTTCAAGCATGATTTCCGGTAGATATCCGGTACATATCCGCACTATAAACTACAAACTATAAACATAAACTACAAACGCTTCTAACTTCCTTCAAATCTATCGAATTGCTATTATCTATAGCTCAACAAAATAGAGAATCTCAAGAGAATTTGAATGAACAAAAAGCATGCCTAAAAATATGAATGCTAAAGAACGCTTCGACTACGCGTGAGTACGATCCGTTTCTAGTCAAGACTACAAACTACTATAACTTTCTTTAGCATTAATATTTTTAGGCGTGCTTTTTGTTCATTCAAAAGCTCTTGAGATTCTCTATTTTTTTTGAGCTATAGATCATAGCAATTCGATAGATTTGAAGGAATTTAGAAGCGTTTGTAGTGTGACATTATTTTTGTAGTTTACCTAGCTTCTAGCTCCTTAAAACAGAAATTCAGAGCAGAAAAACGATTCATCAAGTGAAATCTCGTATACGCGATCACCAGAAAGCATTGAGAGATTGTGTTTATCAATCGATTTCTTTAATTCGAATAATGGATGCACATTTTGCAAGTCGATCGCTTTACATCCATACGGTCAGCGAGAAAACAAAGTGATGAACTCTTTGCTTTTCACTTTGAAATTTGTTGATATGAAAGGAGTTTAGTAATGTCCTCTTTAATGATGTTTAATCCGAATAGCAAGTGTTCAATTGAAGGAGATTCGTGTGAGATTATCGAAGATTTTCGTCATCGTCTTCAAGCGAACGTTACTTCGAAATCATTTTCCGTTTATGAGTTTGTTTTGTTTTGAGCAAAAACTTAAAATTGATCTAAGATGTTTCTTTAAGAAAATGTTTTAATTAAAGCTTTGATATGTCCTTGCCTGATCCGTCCTTGCCTGATCCGTCCTTGCCTGATCCGTCCTTGCCTGATCCGTCCTTGCCTGATCCGTCCTTGCCTGATCCGTCCTTGCCTGATCCGTCCTTGCCTGATCCGTCCTTGCCTGATCCGTCCTTGCCTGATCCGTCCTTGCCTGATCCGTCCTTGCCTGATCCGTCCTTGCCTGATCCGTCCTTGCCTGATCCGTCCTTGCCTGATCCGTCCTTGCCTGATCCGTCCTTGCCTGATCCGTCCTTGCCTGATCCGTCCTTGCCTGATCCGTCCTTGCCTGATCCGTCCTTGCCTGATCCGTCCTTGCCTGATCCGTCCTTGCCTGATCCGTCCTTGCCTGATCCGTCCTTGCCTGATCCGTCCTTGCCTGATCCGTCCTTGCCTGATCCGTCCTTGCCTGATCCGTCCTTGCCTGATCCGTCCTTGCCTGATCCGTCCTTGCCTGATCCGTCCTTGCCTGATCCGTCATTGCCTGATCTGACCTGATCTCATCTAGCCTAATCTCATCTAGCCTAATCTAATACCTTATTTTTACCTGGATCAGCCAGAGTCATACCTGGATTTAGCCTTGATCTTGATCTCTGTAGGTACAGAGCACAGGAAAGTTCTATCTTCTCCGTTTTCTAAATGACACAAAAAAACTAACGTACTTTTGTTAGAGACGGTTTTTTTGTTGAGATTATCTTTTAGAAAACTGGTAGTTAATTATTAAACTTTTGATTCCTAAAATGGTACATTTTAAAGAACAATTACCGTACAGGTAAAGGCAGGCAAAGCAAAGGCAGGTAAAGCCAAGCAAAGCCAGGCAAAAGCAGGCAAAGCCAAGCAAAGCCAGGCAAAACCAGGTAGAGCCAGGCAAAACCAGGTAAAGCCAAGCAAAGCCAAACAAAGCCAAACAAAGCCAAGCAAAGCCAGAACCAAGCGAGACCCCAAGAGTGCTAGGTTAGGCCAACAAAAGCTAACTAGAAGCCAGACTTGTCCTCTGGCTTAGTCTGGCCTGGTAGCTAATTATTAAACTTTTGATTTCTATATGGTACATTTTAAAGAAAAATTATCGTACTTTAGATTGTACGTGAGCTTTTTTACCCTTTAGATTTTTAATTTACAGATTTCTTAAGGACATTTGCTGGCATTTTCAATACCAAGAATCAACAATGAAAATTGTTCTTTTCACAAGATACGAGTAAGTCCTTTTTTTAGTCTAAATCTACAAAAAAAAATAGCAAAAACTAGTACTACTATTTACAATTTCTGGTTTACCTAAAAGTTTAGTCGCAACTTGAACTACAACCTCTTTCACAATGAAAGCTACAAAGCGTTGGCGAATCAATGGCAAAACTTTGTGGGAGTTTTTCTCACTGATGGGGAAAATGTTGTTTTAAATAAAAAGTGAGAAATTTTGTTTAGTAAAAGAGTTACTTAGAAGAATTCTAAGTAATTAGAAGCTAGAAAAATCGAAATTCTAGCGTAAATCTTCTTTCAAATGAGCTATAGAAAAGTAAAATTTGTTTTGTAGATCTACCGATAAAAACATAGAGAAAATTAGTGTCAAAGTTGACCTTCTAAAGTATAGGATATACTAGTATACCCTATACTAGTACTTTAGAAGTATACTAGTGCTAGTATAGGGTATACTAGTACTTTAGAAGTATACTAGTATTTTAGAAGTATACTAGTGCTAGTATAGGGTATACTAGTACGTTAGAAGTATACTAGTATTTTAGAAGTATACTAGTACTAGCATAGGGTATACTAGTACTTTAGAAGTATACTAGTACTAGTATAGGGTATACTAGTCCCCCAGAAGAGTCCCCCAAACTCTGATAGGGTACACTAGTATACCCTATCAGAGTTTGGGAGACTCTTCTATTTTCCTCCATAACTCGACTTCCAATTGACAGATCCCCTCGGCGTTGGTTTTAAAATGATCCTTATGGAATTTGGTTATAAAAAACCACAATTTACTTAGTACACTCTAGTGTAAGAACATAGAGAAAATCTGTGCCAAAGTTAGACTACCTACCTAAAAAAGTCGATCAACTTGGATCGTCTATAACTCTTGATAAAGAAGCTCAATCAACTTATGGTTGGCTTTATTGAAATCTTCATTAAATTTTGCTATATAAATCAATAAAAAGTGAGAAATTTTGTTTACTAAAAGAGTAATTAGAAGAATTCTAAATAATTAGAAGAATTTTAAGTAATTAGAAGAATTCTAAATAATTAGAAGCTATAAAAATCGAAATTTTAGCGTAAATCTTCTTTCAAATGAGCTTTACACTAAACCGAAAATGTTGTGCGTGAATGGAGGATTGGATTTGAATGAAAATCGGATTCAAAATGTCGCCAATGCACTCGTCGAAGCGGTGGCGATAAAAACGATCTTTCGTGAGTTGAAAGAATTATATTGTTGACCTGCGACAGGCATTCAAAAATAACTTCCAGACTTTCAATGCTCTGTTGATGTCACCACAATAAGTCCACCAACAACAACTACAACAATAACACTGACAACACCCACTCACACAAACACAACGCTGCCAACTCGTTCAACTACAACAAGTGGATCGAATTCGACAATGACACCAACTTCAACAACTCAAACTGGATCAACTACAACAACTATTGAGAAGACCTCTCATTCAACGACGACAACAACTACATCGTCTGCTACACTGACGTCGAGTACTGGCAGTACAACCACAACAACGATTCAGGGTAGTACAACTACTACTGCCACTACTACAACAACGACGACGGTAAGTTAGAGTTGAACTTTAGAAGGGAATTGCTGTATTGGGTTAGGCTTTAGATTTGATCAAATCACTCTAACATGTTGGAGTTAAGTTGGTTTAGCTAGTCCTGATCTATCTGATCAGGACTGGCTGAGAATCAGGTCAGATCCAAGTCAGATCCAGGGTCAGATCTAGGGCCAGATTCAGAGTTAGGTCCAGGTCAGATCCAGGGTCAGGTTTAGGCCCGGTTCAGGGTCAGGTCTAAGTCAGATCCAAGGTCAGGTCCAGGGTCAGGTCCAGAACCGACCCAGAGGAGTCTAAGCTTTGGCCTAATTTGGCCCTAGACTGGCCCTAGCTCTGATCTCTAACACACATCTTGCAATTTGGCTTTAGCTCTGAGATCTCTTCCCCAATCTGGGTTTTAAAATGAACTACTCCAAGGACTTTAAGCTAGAAATAGGTTTTCTAATTGTAATTTCTGCTAAACTTTCAGCCATCATCGACGACAAGTCTCCCAAATCCTCAACGTGAATCGCAATGCCCATGCAATCGCCTAACAGCTTACAACGATATCGTTTTAATAATAGAAAGCACTGATGATGTGAAGAAGGAGAACTTTGACAAGGTACTTTAAAATTAGCCTTAAGAAGTTGAGTTGGCTTCTTTCAGTGGGTATCGTTTGGCAAAGAAACACTGGCCGAGATGTCGATCGGTCTTGATGCGGAAAACGAGCAACAACTCGGTGTGCTTACCTATGATGGACAGGTGATTGGAAAGTGTACAAATCGTACTGAAGCTTTTAAAGATCAAAAGTCTTTTAGGTGCACGAGGTTGCCGGTTTAAAAAGCTATAGAAGTAAAACGGAAATGTTGAAAGCCGATTGGGCGTTTAGTGGTGGAAGTGGAAGCAATCTGGCAGGGTGGGTTCAATGGAATAAAGATATAGACAGGTAAAGACAGGCAAAGCAATGGCAGGTAAAGACAGGTAAAGACAGATAAATGCAGGTAAAGACAGGTAAAGACAGGTAAAGACAGGTAAATGCAGGCAAAGGCAGGCAAAGCCAAGTAAAGCCAAGCAAAGCCAGGCAAAGTCAAGTAAAGCCAGGCAAAGCCAAGTAAAGCCAAGCAAAGTCAAGCAAAGTCAAGCTAGAACCCAAGAGTGCTAGATTAGGCCAACTAGAAGTTCACTAGAAGCCAGACTTGTCCTCTGGCTTAGTCTGGCCTGGTAGTTAATTATTAAACCCAAGAGTGCTAGGTTAGTTCACTAGAAACCAGACTTGTCCTCTGGCCTGGCTTTAGTCATTGTTCACAAAAGTCTCTGGGTTCGGAAGAAAAGAAATTGACCTGAAATTGACCTGAAATTGACCTGAAATCCATCAGAACTCAGCTCAGGCTTGACTTTTCCTGGCTTTTGCTCTAGAAATAACTTCTAGACTTTCAATGCTCTGTTGATGTCACCACAATAAGTCCACCAACAACAACTACAACAATAACTTGATCTAGTCTATTCCAACTCTATACAATGCTTTTGTTTCATAAACGAATTTTGAGAGCGATAAACGATGAAAAGCTCAAAAGTTTTCATAAATATTGATCATTTAGTCATAGAGCAATCGACAAATCATCAATTTTAGTGCAATCGATAAAGGAGAGGACTATTTATCCACCTCTTCACCAGATCAACGACCAACTTCGCGAAAAGTGATGCTCATCTTTGCCTCCACCTATTACCAGTAAGATTAGCTTTAGATCAGCTTTAGATTCATTTTACTACAAAGAAATCAATAGTACAATAAAAGCTAAAAAGTCTTTTCTAGAGATCCAAATGAACTCGATTCACCAATCGATTCCGCACGAAATTTCAAAGAAAACGATGGGATCATTATTGTAGTTGGTGAGTTGCATTTTAGAAAACAACAATGATAACCGTAAGCTGTAGGGATTACTGTTACAGTCTCCTTTTAGGCTTTGGTGGTTTACACGGTGAAGTGAACGCGACACTTCGTCAAGTGGCAAGTGCTGGATATTTTCTGCAAATTGCTGCACTAGGGGCAAATGAGGATGACGATGCAGTGGCAAAGGAAACAATAATCCAATTGTTATGCGCAGGTGAGAGCATGAGAGCTTGAGAGCTTGAGAGGTGAGCTTGAGAGCCTGTGAGTTAGAGAGTGAGCTGGAGAGCTTGTGAGCTGGAGAGCTTGTGAGCTGGAGAGCTTGTGAGCTGGAGAGCTTGTGAGCTGGAGAGCTTGTGAGCTGGAGAGCTTGTGAGCTGGAGAGCTTGTGAGCTGGAGAGCTTGTGAGCTGGAGAGCTAGTAGCCTTGACTTCAAAAACTATCAAGTTTTGTTCATTTCATTGTGAAAAGCTGGCCTAAAAAGCTGATTTTATCTTTTAAAACGATCAAATATCTTTTAGCAACAGTAAATCTTTTAGCGAATTGTTTCTGCCCTGGGGACTTCGATGACAATACAAACAAATTCGTTGGAGCGTCGTTTAGTCCACTTGGGATACCAAATGGTGGATGTTTCTGGGTAATTGATTGATAAAATGTAAACTCTGATGGATAGCAATGGTTTACCGTGAGGAAACTGAGTATTCCCGAGGTTCCAGAAAGGATCTTGTTTATTCTAGAAAGGATTTGTTTAGATTTTTCTGGATTAGAAAGGTGGGGATTGGGTGAAAGGGTTAGGAAATCTAGTGAATGTCGACCTAGTGAATGTTGACAGTGGTTAGAAAATCTAACCTATTGAATGTTGACACGATTGCTGTTGACACGATAAATCAAAATTGTTTTAGGATGGAAAGCTGGACACAATTTATGGAATAAACAATCGCACTTGTACTACAATGTCAATCACTTCGAATGCAATTACAGCAATGCCAAAGTACAATGATCAACAAAAAGCAGTGATCACTCGTCAAATGAACAGCAGATTCTGGATGGGACTTCGCTTTAATTTGAAAGGAGATAATTTATGGAGATGGGAGGACGGGAGTCTTTTGGTGAGTCGAAAGGATAAATAGGACTTAGGAATTGATAAATCATGTAGGAATACGCAAATAATATAGGAATATACAAAAATAAATAGACAAATATAAAAATAGGGTAACGTTTTTGACTTTTCACTTTGTTTTCTCTAAGATGAAAGCGTTTTAGAAGCTTTTAAACTTTAAGAAATTCTAGGATTCAACAATTTCTCCATCTTTATCAATTCCCGATGATGACAAGACGTGTGCTGTACTTCGATATGATCAATATCAAGGTAAAGTACAAAAATTTGACCAAAATTTTATTGATTTAACTAAATTCTCAAATTTCAAACTGAATTTAGCAGTTAAATGAAGAAAAAAATGGGACTAGAATGATTGCGTTTACACATAAAGCCATCTCAATCAACTCTTGATCATTTTTGTGTACTAGAAAAGTGTTTAAAAGTTTATAAACAAAGCTAAGGAATGTAAATGCTGTAATAGTACCCCACCGCCCATAATGACGGTGCGGAGTGTTGCGTAGTCTAGCTTTGAAAGAGTTTTTCTCGACACTAGTTTATGCTACAATGCTCGTTTAGGTATCAAAGAATAGCTGAAATTCGGAGCTTAGGCTTAGGCTTAGAGTAGGCTTAGAGCTCCCACAAATGTACTTACCGTAAATTCTGTAATAGTACCGCACCCCCATAATGACGGTGCGGAGTGTTGCGTAGTCTAGCTTTGAACAAGTTTTTCTCGATACTGGTTTAAGCTAAAATCTTCGTTTTGGTATCAATAAAAAGCTGAAATTCAGGGCTATTTTTTGATACCAAAACAAAGTTTTTAGCTTAAATCAGTGTCGAGAAAAACTTGTTCAAAGCTAGACTACGCAACACTCCGCACCGTCATTATGGGCGGTGGAGTACTATTACAGTATTTACGGTAAGTGTTTCAAGTTTTATAAGCAAAGTAAGGAAAAGGTTTTATAAGGAAAGTAAGATTGTTAAAATTGTTAAAAACAAATCAACCAAAAGCTTGATAGAGAAAATTTGACAAAAAAAAAAGTTTTAGATAAAACCTATTTCGAAGGATTTGATTGCAATGATGGTGCTCGTTTTTCATGCCAAGCTCCACCATGTTCTACCGAGAATTTTTGCTCATCAAGAAACGAAAAATCTTCACTTTAATCCAATGCCAACCATGCAACGAGGGTCTAGATTGCTTTTAAAAACAAATTGCCTGAAAACAAATTCCCTTCCGAATTTCTGATCTGTTCCTATTTGTACATAAAAGTTAACGACTTTTAATTGAGTGCTGAATAAACTCTCAAAATATCTTCGCTTCGTCGGCTCTGCTTTAAGAGTTATCATTCTGCGTTAAATTGAATTCTGTGTTGAGATTAGACCTCAAAAAAAAGTCCATGTGAAGGATGATGAGTGGACCTCAACTGATCGTGATGTCATCGATCGAAAACAGTCGTCATCGATCGTCATCGATCGAGCTACACGATCATACAAAGTCTAGGAAAAGTCACACCGAATCGTAAACAGGTGTACAACGAAAAACTCCAATTTTTATTCCTTTAACATTAAATTTTCTGTAAAAAATCCCTTACTTGTTAGATAGCGCTTGTAAAATCCTATCTAACAGTAAAAATAATTGAAAAATTTGCTATTAAAGAGATCAAAAATTGTACACTTTTTAACGATTCGGTGAAACTTTTCCTAGACTTTGAATGATCGTGTAGCATTGGTTTCGATCGATGACGTCACGATCAGTTGAGGTCCACTCATCATCCTTCACATGGACTCCTGAGATGAGATTTCTGAAGGAAAAGAGATTTGTACAGTGAATGCAGGTTCTTACAGCTTTTACAAATCCAGATACAGAACGTTGATTCAGTTTTCTTGTTGGGGAAATTCCTTTTCCGTTTAGTACAGATGCGGGCTAGCCTGGAAAGGAAGAGAGTTGAAGAGGAAGAGAGGAGAGGAAGAGAGGAAAGGAAGAGAGTTGAAGAGGAAGAGAGGAGAGGAAGAGAGGAGAGGAAGAGAGGAAAGGAAGAGAGTTGAAGAGGAAGAGAGGAGAGGAAGAGAGGAAAGGAAGAGAGGAAAGGAAGAGAGGAAAGGAAGAGAGGAAAGGAAGAGAGGAAAGGAAGAGAGGAAAGGAAGAGAGGAAAGGAAGAGAGTTGAAGAGGAAGAGAGGAGAGGAAGAGAGGAAAGGAAGAGAGTTGAAGAGGAAGAGAGGAGAGGAAGAGAGGAAAGGAAGAGAGGAAAGGAAGAGAGGAAAGGAAGAGAGTTGAAGAGGAAGAGAGGAAAGGAAGTGTAAAACACTATAAAAGTCGATTAACATCATTTTTATTGAAGTTTGAAGTTTTTCTTTTTCTTCAATCCATCGTCTTTTTCAAGCTATCCGGCTGACGGTTGATGACGAGCCGCACCATAATGCTCGATTTCCAATTGACGATCCCTAAATGAATCATTTTTACAGCCTTGTGAACGTAGAATTCGGATTCATTATTAAAGTAATAACCAATAAAAGTTACCTAACATTATCGTATCTTCGATAAACTCACCGCAAATACACATAGTACTCCCCGAAAACCCACAAATACCATCCGTTCACCGCCCAAAACAGCATCACAAAGTCGAACAATCCTCAAATAATAAAGTAAAATAAGAAATGAAAAGAACTCTCAACTTTTGGTTTACTGCTCGTAAACCAAAAGTTGAGATACTCTAAACATTGAACATACCGGATATCTTCTTGAGAAACATGGTACAACAAGCTACCATACCTCCAGTGCCGCTTGAGTTGTCACGATCTCTAGAAAATGTTTTCTATAGTATTTCTGAAGGGTTAGTAACTCAAAGTGGTCCATACCCGATGCTCGAAACTAAAACAAAGAAACAAATTACTTTAATATCTCCTCTCCCTACAATAGACTCAATAATTAGCTGCGTGAGTGCTCTAACTAGGGAAGGGTGTTGACTCAAGTGACCTTTCCGGACAAAAAAGTTTTCGTTCGATCGCTGGATGGACTCGAACCAGGGCAAACTGTTTTGCAAGCAGGCACACTAGCCACTACATCATCAGGCCTTCTGGTGGGCATTGTGTGCATGCCTCAAATAGATCCACCAAAAAATGTTTTCGTTAAATAATTCGAGTTTGCGTGGCGTTCTGCAAAAATTAAATACAGCATTGGATTCCCTGTAAAATTCTTTGCAAGATGAGCTAGGTCTCATCCCGAAAGTGCACTTCAAGTCAACACCTTTCCCTAGTAAGCTGCACAATTTCCTATCAAAACCACAACTCTCACCTCTGTATCTCTTCAGACATTATTGGCAGTCCGGTGACAAAGTAGAAAACCTGGTAAGGATTTTCTTGGTACTATAATAGTTGGGGGAGCACTCTTTCTGACGTAGTTTTATGCGTAGATTCCGAAAAACACAACGAGATCTAGGGAAAAAGCGTTTTAAGCCAAGTTTTGGGGCTTCAAAGTGCGCGCACATAAAGCGTGATGAGAAGGATACACATAGGGAAGTGATCTAAAAAAATGGTCTCTCAAAACATTTTTTGAAGCCAAAAACACTTCTTCTGGCATAATTTAATCTACTGATTACATTTTGTTGATCAAATTAAAGCAAAATAAAAAAATTTTCCAAATTCCGATCATGTGGTTTCCCATGAGTCAACTCTCACAAAAGAAATTAATTTTCAATTTTTCAATGAGATTTTGCCTCTACCAGTCAAATTAAGTTAGAAAATGAAGATTTAGCGATTAAAAATGGTTTTGGCTCTAGTTTTGACCTTGGAAAGTGGCCCAATAGTCGATAGCTTCATATAGTGAAGTACACTATAGAAGCACGCACTTTGAAGCACTGAAACTTGGCTTAAAACGCCTTTTCTCTAGATCTCGTTGTGTTTTTCGGAATCTACGCATAAAATTACCCCAGAAAAAATGGTTTTGAAGTAAAAAAAGTGCACCCAACTAGTATAGTGTCCAAATGTTTTTAAATGTTTTTAAATCTTTTCAAACCTTTGAAAGATTTTAAAGATTTTAGATTTAAAAACATTCAAACATTTCTTAACAAACCCACCAAAAAGATGAGAAACACTTGCATATAGTAGGGACATTGATCGAAGAAAACATAAAAGCAAAGAAAGGCTGAAGCGAACATCTGAATGCGATTCTTGAGCATAAAATAGACATACAAACGTTAAATATTCTGCTTTGATTTGCGTCTAAAAGGCGTCGAGATGCTCAACTTAAATTATTACAGTATAAACTCTGCAGTTACCCTAGTCAACCAAAGAAAAAACCCCACCAGCCGCCGGAGATCATCCCGACTAACAACGCCACCACGAACGGCTCACAGCCGAGCACGGTCACCGCCGTGTAAAGACGGAGAAACGCTTTGAAACCGCACTAAAATAAAATACAGTTATTCTAATAGAATTATCATTTTAATATTCTACTCCCTAATAGACGGGCATCCCCTGACTCCTTGAAAAATTGAGTTTTAAGATCTTTTTCGCGTGAATTAATCAATGAATATAAAAAATAGACGGGCATGCCCTTCTACTAGAATTATTACGATAGGTTAATAAAGTATAAAATAGTCCCAACCGTAGCCGTGAAGCGTCCAAAGAAACATTGATAGTTCTCCTCATCGACTGGCTCGACGGGAGCGCTCTTCTTCGGATGCCAGCACCAGATTTTCGACATCGAACTCTAAAATATCAAAATACAAAATTCGATATAAACAAAAGAAAAACGAAATGCGATAATAATACTAGAAATAAATGTGCTTTTATTTTACAATCTTCCAAAAAACTGAGTACTAGTTGAGTAAATGAGTACAAAAAAGAAAACTAGTTTGGGGAGCACTTTTTCTGACGTAGTTTTATGCGTAGATTCCGAAAAACACAACGAGATCTAGGGAAAAGGCGTTTTAAGCCGAGTTTCAGTGCTTCAAAATGCGCGCACATACAGAGTGATCGGAGGGATACACATAGGGAAGTGATCTAAAAACAAATGGTCTCTCAAAATATTTTCAAATGAAATCAAATCATTTTCTGAAGCCAAAAACACTTCTTCTGGCGTAATTTAACCTACTAATTACGTTTTTTGATCAAATTAAAGCAAAATAAGCAAAATAAGCAGCAAAATAAGCAGCAAAATAGGCAGCAAAATAGGCAGCAAAATAAGCAGCAAGATAGGCAGCAAGATAGGCAGCAAGATAGGCAGCAAGATAGGCAGCAAGATAGGCAGCAAAATAAGCAGCAAAATAGGCAGCAAAATAAGCAGCAAGATAGGCAGCAAGATAGGCAGCAAGATAGGCAGCAAGATAGGCAGCAAGATAGGCAGCAAGATAGGCAGCAAGATAGGCAGCAAGATAGGCAGCAAGATAGGCAGCAAGATAGGCAGCAAGATAGGCAGCAAGATAGGCAGCAAGATAGGCAGCAAGATAGGCAGCAAGATAGGCAGCAAGATAGGCAGCAAGATAGGCAGCAAGATAGGCAGCAAGATAGGCAGCAAGATAGGCAGCAAGATAGGCAGCAAGATAGGCAGCAAGATAGGCAGCAAGATAGGCAGCAAGATAGGCAGCAAGATAGGCAGCAAGATAGGCAGCAAGATAGGCAGCAAGATAGGCAGCAAGATAGGCAGCAAGATAGGCAGCAAGATAGGCAGCAAGATAGGCAGCAAGATAGGCAGCAAGATAGGCAGCAAAATAAGCAACCCACATGAGTCAAAATCGGTTATAATCTCAAAAAAAAATATTCTTTCGATTTCTTTTGCATTTACCAATGAATTTAAGTTCGAAAATGAAGATTTAGTGATTAAAAATGGTTTTGGCTCTAGTTTTGACCTTGAAAAGTGCCCCAATAATCGATAGCTTCATATAGTGAAGTACACTATAGAAGCACGCACTTTGAAGCCCTGAAACTTCGCTTAAAACGCCCTTTCCCAAGCTTTCGTTGTGTTTTTCGGAATTTACGCATAAAATTACCCCAGAGAAAATGGTTTTGAAGTAAAAAAAGTGTCCCCAACTAGTATAGTATCCAAATCCAACTAGAATTATTATTTTAATATTCGACTCCCTAATAGACGGGCATCCCCTGACCCCTCGGAGAAATAGTGATGAAGATGTGATAGCACCATTGATTTAACAAAAATTGAGACTGTGATGCACACGTAAGTGAATGTAACCCTTATCATTCAGACAATTGTAACTTCTCCAGCAATCTGCAAATGATGGTTGTTCCCTTTTCCTCTTGTTCTGTTTTTGTGTTGATTTAAAAATATAAATTTCGGCGTAAGTTTCCACCCATGACAGCAATGACACTGACAGCAATGACACTGACAGCAATGACACTGACAGCAATGACACTGACAGCAATGACACTGACATTTGAGCTCAGCTCTTTGCGGTGAGCATTTTATATTCAAATTTTTCGCTATTTGGGGTGGTACCATAAAACTGGATTTAGCCTAAAATACAATTAAATCATAGAGAAAAAAAACAGAAAAATAGTCAATAAAGCTTTAGGAATGTAAATCAACAGGGTCTTAATTGAAAACCGACCCAAGTTGCTTTAATTTTAGACCACCCTGCAGACTTGGGGAAATTCCACCTTCGTTTTCTCGACCGTTTCTTTGCCGTTTCCTCTGAAACTTTGTCGACAAGCTGAAAATTTTGGTTTCTATCTGTAGACAAATTTGCAGAGGAATCGGCAAAGAAATGGTCAAGAAAACGAAGGTGGAATTAGGTTTCGGTTGAAATTTCCCCAAGTCTGCAGGGTGGTCTAAAATTAAAGCAACGTGGGTCGGTTTTCAATTAAGATCCCGTTGATTTAGATTCCGTTGATTTACATTTCTAAACGAAGGTGAAATTGGGTTTTGGTTGGAATTTTTTCAAGACTAGTGTAGACTTTAATTAAAAGAATTAAAAGAATTGAATTAAAAGAATTAAATTAATTAAAAGAATTAAATTAATTAAAAGAATTTAATTAATTAAAAGAATTTAATTAATTAAAAGAATTTAATTAATTAAAAGAATTAAAAGGATTAAAAGAATTAAAAGAATTAAATTAATTAAAAGAATTAAAAGAATTAAATTAATTAAAAGAATTAAATTAATTAAAAGAATTAAATTAATTAAAAGAATTATATATATATATATGCTTTATTCATGGGGCGAATAGAAGCGAATCAGATAATCATAACTGCATATAACATATTGCTACAATACTCTCACCGAAAAAAAAAAAGAGGCACTAGGCCACCGGTGCCCATATCTTCCCGTGAGCTTTCCTTTCCCGATCACATACATCTTACTAAATCGAGTATGCACATTCATAATCTGAAATCAAAATCTACCAAATAAGCTTGCAAATGCGTAAAAATTGAATTGAAACTTTAAAGCACGCTTTTCAATCGCTGGGATATGGGCACCGGTGGCCTAGTGCCTCTCAGTCGTAAGATCAGGG